AAAAGTGAGGCCAGGTCATCCGATGCTGCACCTGTCAAGCAAAATCACCTTAGGAAACTTGAAGATCCGATGCTCCAAAATGCAACCCCTCTCAGGAAATCAGCGCCGTGAGCTCCTAACGTGTCTGATGGAGATGTCTTTTGTACTGCGCGTGCCATGCGAAATGCAAGTTTTGCAGATCCTCTTCAAACGTCTTACGCCTGCCATCGTTTTTGAAGCTCCTACAAAACCGACCTCAATTTTGTAAAAAACGACGCTTGCCAAAAGTGGTCCGAACGTGGAGTGTTTTTTCCATTTTGGCTTCGACGCGTGCTTTTTCAACACCTCAACGCCCAAAAGTGGTCCGAGACCGTCATTTTTACCATTTTTGACTTCGAAACGTGCTTCGCGCCACAGCGGCGAGCGCTTTTTGAACATCTCAATTTCCAAAAACGCTCCGAACATGAGGTGTTTTTAGTTTCTTGATCTCGAAATCTGCTTCACGCCACAACGGCGTGCAATTTTTCATCTCTCATCTGGCCAGGTGGCTCCGCACCCGCCGCTTTAGCGAGCCTACTTTTCGACCCTCCGGAGCCACAAATCAGTGGAAAAAACCACAGTGAATCGCGACTTTTCTACCTTTTTCGCGCACGTGCATCTTCTTTCTTCTGACTCCTTCTCTTCGCTGATCTTCTCTCTTCTTCTCTTCTCTTCTCTTCTCTTCTCTGACTCTGCCCACCTCTGCTTTTCCATCTGTCCATATTGTCGGAAGTTTGACTTCTAAATTTCCTTCGATGAATGTGATTAGGCGTGTGGATACGGGCACTGCGTAGAATTGAGCAGCCATGTCGAAACCATGCACGGTGGCAGCCAGACAATAGGATCAACATGACACGGTGAGCTACACATCCTGGGAGGATGCTCCTTTCCCTCCACCCTCCAAGTGGCGCTAAAGCTATGGTTGCGGTGAGAAACAGGTTGTCTTCGCAAGGGGCATGCGCGGTATGGGCCCAGAACTGGGGAGTCTGCAGAGTCCTCCAAAGTGGACGTGAATACCAGCTATGCCCAGCAGTTGCTCCCTGGCCTGAATTTTTGGAACCACAATGCAATGAAACCAGGCCCCAAAGGGTTTGGCAACGCAAGCACATCATTGTGACACTGAGTGCTGCATGACGTCACTGTGGTTTTATCATGTTTTATCTATGGCGATGGTGGGTTTCAGCTTTGGCTCAGATTACGAGGAATAGATAGCTTGACCATGTTTGAACGGTGAATCAACATCAAATTGCCAGTTGCCCACTTCTCAACTTCACACTGGGTGCTTTAGATTGAGGTTGCAGGTGGTCAACGAGTGTATTTCTGGTATCACAAATCCTTCAGAAGTGACATGAGAAAACAACTTGAGCAAATCGTGGACCCCCCAAACCTATCCAAACCTAACAAAATCACCCAAACATCTGTTGTTTTGCTCACGGTAAATGGGCCATTCCCGCCGTATGTCTGCACCTGCCTGAACCTCAACGGTGAAACACAACGGCAAATTATGACTGCTATTGACAGCTATGATGTGTTTTTTGGTTGTCCAGCTGGGTCCAAACATGGGGCTGGTATGCTGGAAATTTCATGGTGAATCATGGTTGATCATCACATTCCCCACTCGGCCATTTTGAACCCATACCGATACCAGGACATCACTTGGCAGGTGCCACTTTGGGAGCGGAAGATGGGATCCAAAGCACTCCGGACAGGAAAACCTGACCGGATACGATTCACTGTCAGTTCATCCAAGTGTGCTTGAGCTAGGTCTACCATAGATTAGAGTCAAAGTCAGCTAAAGTCAGTGTTTTTCCATGATAACCTACCTGCAAACAATTGGCAGATGTGGAGGTGGAGGATGGAGCTCGTCACAACTTCTCTCCAGCCTGCCCTCGATTTGCTCGAGGTATCCGCTAAATGGGTTTGATTTTCTTTCTTTCCACTGGGGCATTGATTCATTTGATTCTCTTATTGCCTTTGATTTACATTGGATGTGCTTCAGTTTGGTTGTTTGCAGTTTGTTTTCACTGTGGTCTAAGCTCACCCCAAACGTGTAAAGGCCGGGGATAGGCGGCACGGATTCCAACATTCAATGCATTCGGTTGAAATCTCCGCATCTTGCAAGCCACTCCAGATCGTGTGTCAGTCGGCAAACTATACTAATAACTAATGAATTCATTGAAATGGAACAGAAGCCAATTCTTAGCTGCTGGAATTAAGCGGATTTGCATTGGATTTGTTTTGGGCGTTTCTGACAGTTTCGGTTTGCCTGTTTGCAGTTTGCAGCTTGTTTTCACTTTGTGCGATTATTTTTGTACACTTTTGTGCCCTTGGCTCTACAGCACAGAGCACTTTCAAGAGCAGTAGGGACTCGTTGGTGAACCATGGCTCAGCCGCAAGCACAGAAGCAGCCCAGTTGGTGGCAGAGGATCTTTACCACTGCTCCACGGGGACAGTATGCTGTGGATGAAAAGCAGCAGAATGTGAAGGAGAAGGAGTTCATCATCATGAGATGGAATCTCTTGTTCTTGGTGTTTGACTTCATCATCATTCCACTCCCACTGTGGATCGACATCTTTTGCCCCATTTTTGCCGCCATCTATGGCCTCTTTGTCGGATGGCTGGGAGCATTCCTATTGACCGTTTGTGCTTTGCGTTCTTTGCAGGCCAACTTTCTGATGAAGAGGGTGGTGGATGAGACTTGGGAGGACAAGATCCCCAGAAACACGGAAGAGGAGAGGCGTTTGGCAGACAACCTGCAACACCTGGTGATGATGTGCGGCTACAAGGAGCCCATGGAAGTGATTTGCCAATCCATCGATTCACTCGCAGCCCAGACGGCGGCTCACCGCCTGATTGTGGTGATTGGCTTGGAGGAGGGGACCCCTGATGTGGCTGAGAAAGCTGCAAGGTTGAAAGAGCGCTATGCCAGATCCTTCAAGCGATTCCATGTGACCAAGCATCCCAAGCAGTGGGCTGGAGGTCGTGAGATCCGAGGCAAATGCTCAAATGCCAACTACACCATGCGTGCTGCGGTCACCCGCTTGGAAGAGTACGGTGACTTAGATCTCAGTTGCACCACAGCCACGAGTTGTGACACGGACTCTATCTTTGCACCACGCTACTTTGAGAACCTGGGTTACCAGTTCCTTACCTCCCCAAAAGCCAAAGAGGTGGTTTGGCAGGCACCGCTCTACTACAATCACTTCTTGAATGAGCGACCCTTCTATGTTCGTGCTATTGGCATCATGCGTGCTGCTTACATGTTGGGATTCTTGATCCCTTTCAACATCAACACCATGTCCATCTTCAGCTTTTCTCTGGATCTCTGCATCAAGGGCGAGTTCTTCCATGCTCACTATCAGATGGATGACATCATCTACACCCTGACCTGCATGCAAGCCCTGCAGAAGCGAGTTGAGATCCTCATGATTCCTATGCCTGTGATTTCTGGTCCAACCTCAGGCACGAGCCAATGGGAAGAGTTCAGCGAATGGTTCCGACAGAGTGAACGTTGGACCATTGGTGCTTGCGAGGTTTTCCACTACTTTGTGGTGAAGCGAAGACGTTACAACTGCTCTGCAGCCTTGTCTTACGGCACTTGGTTTGTGATCTACTATGGTTTCATTTTGTGCTCCCTGACGCTGACTGGACTTGCAGGCTTCATCAACTACGCCTTAATCATGCCAAACACGACACCATGGGCCAAATGACTGGCCAGCTGCCTTTGGATGATGCAGCCAACACTGGCGTGATGATTGCCGGCTTTTCCAGCCTTGCTTGGACCTACCTAGTCTTCTTGATTTTCTTCTACCTTGACCGTGAAGGGTGCAAACTCATTTACCACTTGAAGATGAAGCCGCAGGGTGCTGAGGATACCAGCTTTTGCCAGAACCTCAAAGACTGGATTTTGATGTGGCCCAGTTTGGTGATGTATTCCATGGTCAGCTACTGGGCTATCCTGAAAGTGGCTGTCTATGGCAAGAAGGTGTGCGGCCATGATCCTTCCAGCAAGGAAGGCCTCAAGGCTGGGCAAGGCATGACATCGGAAGAGTCTGCTGAAGTCTCAACGGCGATCGACAGCGCAGACATTTCTGAAGCTGGCCGTGCCTGAAAGGGAGCGATGCCTCTCTGACGGCAATTGAGATTCTCACAGATGCTCTAAGACCTCTTAAGAAAGAGGCTACTCACATTGGTTCACCAAGCTGTCAGTCAGCTGCTCTATGAAAATTGTTTTCGCAAGCTTTCGCCTTTGTATAGCAGCCAAAGGGCGTGCCTAGGAAATTCAGTGACCCGTGTGACGCGACGAGTGCGTCTAAGCTCACCCCAAACATGTAAAGGCTGGGGATAGGCGGCACGGATTCCAACATTCAATGCATTCGGTTGAAATCTCCGCATCTTGCAAGCCACTCCAGATCGTGTGTCAGTCGGCAAACTATACTAATAACTAATGAATTCATTGAAATGGAACAGAAGCCAATTCTTAGCTGCTGGAATTAAGCTGATTTGCATTGGATTTGTTTTGGACCTTTCTGAATCTTTCTGACAGTTTCGGTTTGCCTGTTTGCAGTTTGCAGCTTGTTTTCACTTTGTGCGATTATTTTTGTACACTTTTGTGCCCTTGGCTCTACAGCACAGAACGCTTTCCAGAGCAGTAGGGACTCGTTGGTGAACCATGGCTCAGCCGCAAGCACAGAAGCAGCCCAGTTGGTGGCAGAGGATCTTTACCACTGCTCCAAGGGGACAGTATGCTGTGGATGAAAAGCAGCAGAATGTGAAGGAGAAGGAGTTCATCATCATGAGATGGAATCTCTTGTTCTTGGTGTTTGACTTCATCATCATTCCACTCCCACTGTGGATCGACATCTTTTGCCCCATTTTTGCCGCCATCTATGGCCTCTTTGTCGGATGGCTGGGAGCATTCCTATTGACAGTTTGTGCTTTGCGTTCTTTGCAGGCCAACTTTCTGATGAAGAGGGTGGTGGATGAGACTTGGGAGGATTTTGGCAGACAACCTGCAACACCTGGTGATGATGTGCGGCTACAAGGAGCCCATGGAAGTGATTTGCCAATCCATCGATTCGCTCGCAGCCCAGACGGCGGCTCACCGCCTGATTGTGGTGATTGGCTTGGAGGAGGGGACCCCTGATGTGGCTGAGAAAGCTGCAAGGTTGAAAGAGCGCTATGCCAGATCCTTCAAGCGATTCCATGTGACCAAGCATCCCAAGCAGTGGGCTGGAGGTCGTGAGATCCGAGGCAAATGCTCAAATGCCAACTACACCATGCGTGCTGCGGTCACCCGCTTGGAAGAGTACGGTGACTTAGATCTCAGTTGCACCACAGCCACGAGTTGTGACACGGACTCTATCTTTGCACCACGCTACTTTGAGAACCTGGGTTACCAGTTCCTTACCTCCCCAAAAGCCAAAGAGGTGGTTTGGCAGGCACCGCTCTACTACAATCACTTCTTGAATGAGCGGCCCTTCTATGTTCGTGCTATTGGCATCATGCGTGCTGCTTACATGTTGGGATTCTTGATCCCTTTCAACATCAACACCATGTCCATCTTCAGCTTTTCTCTGGATCTCTGCATCAAGGGCGAGTTCTTCCATGCGCACTATCAGATGGATGACATCATCTACACCCTGACCTGCATGCAAGCCCTGCAGAAGCGAGTTGAGATCCTCATGATTCCTATGCCTGTGATTTCTGGTCCAACCTCAGGCACGAGCCAATGGGAAGAGTTCAGCGAATGGTTCCGACAGAGTGAACGTTGGACCATTGGTGCTTGCGAGGTTTTCCACTACTTTGTGGTGAAGCGAAGGCGTTACAACTGCTCTGCAGCCTTGTCTTACGGCACTTGGTTTGTGATCTACTATGGTTTCATTTTGTGCTCCCTGACGCTGACTGGACTTGCAGGCTTCATCAACTACGCCTTAATCAATGCCAAACACGACACCATTGATCGCATGGGCCAAATGACTGGCCAGCTGCCTTTGGATGATGCAGCCAACACTGGCGTGATGATTGCCGGCTTTTCCAGCCTTGCTTGGACCTACCTAGTCTTCTTGATTTTCTTCTACCTTGACCGTGAAGGGTGCAAACTCATTTACCACTTGAAGATGAAGGGTGCAAACTCATTTACCACTTGAAGATGAAGCCGCAGGGTGCTGAGGATACCAGCTTTTGCCAGAACCTCAAAGACTGGATTTTGATGTGGCCCAGTTTGGTGATGTATTCCATGGTCAGCTACTGGGCTATCCTGAAAGTGGCTGTCTATGGCAAGAAGGTGTGCGGCCATGATCCTTCCAGCAAGGAAGGCCTCAAGGCTGGGCAAGGCATGACATCGGAAGAGTCTGCTGAAGTCTCAACGGCGATCGACAGCGCAGACATTTCTGAAGCTGGCCGTGCCTGAAAGGGAGCGATGCCTCTCTGACGGCAATTGAGATTCTCACAGATGCTCTAAGACCTCTTAAGAAAGAGGCTACTCACATTGGTTCACCAAGCTGTCAGTCAGCTGCTCTATGAAAATTGTTTTCGCAAGCTTTCGCCTTTGTATAGCAGCCAAAGGGCGTGCCTAGGAAATTCAGTGAGCCGTGTGACGCGACGAGTGCGTCTAAGCTCACCCCAAACATGTAAAGGCTGGGGATAAGCGGCACGGATTCCAACATTCAATGCATTCGGTTGAAATCTCCGCATCTTGCAAGCCACTCCAGATCGTGTGTCAGTCGGCAAACTATACTATATAATTACTAATGAATTCATTGAAATGGAACAGAAGCCAATTCCTACAGTAGCTGCTGGAATTAAGCTGATTTGCATTGGAATTGCTTTGGACCTTTCTGACAGTTTCGGTTTGCCTGTTTGCAGTTTGCAGCTTGTTTTCACTTTGTGCGATTATTTTTGTATATTTTTGTATATTTTTGTACATTTTTGTGCCCTTGGCTCTACATCATAGAATGCTTTTCAGAGCAGTAGGGACTCGTTGGTGAACCATGGCTCAGCCGCAAGCACAGAAGCAGCGCAGTTATGAGAGGGTCTTTACCACTTCTCCAAGGGGACAGTATGCTGTGGATAAAAAGCAGCAGAATGTGAAGGAGAAGGAGTTCATCATCATGAGATGGAATCTCTTGTTCTTGGTGTTTGACTTCATCATTATTCCACTCCCACTGTGGATCGACATCTTTTGCCCCATTTTTGCCGCCATCTATGGCCTCTTTGTCGGATGGCTGGGAGCATTCCTATTGACAGTTTGTGCTTTGCGTTCTCTGCAGGCCAACTTTCTGATGAAGAGGGTGGTGGATGAGACTTGGGAGGACAAGATCCCCAGAAACACGGAAGAGGAGAGGCGTTTGGCAGACAACCTGCAACACCTGGTGATGATGTGCGGCTACAAGGAGCCCATGGAAGTGATTTGCCAATCCATCGATTCACTCGCAGCCCAGACGGCGGCTCACCGCCTGATTGTGGTGATTGGCTTGGAGGAGGGGACCCCTGATGTGGCTGAGAAAGCTGCAAGGTTGAAAGAGCGCTATGCCAGATCCTTCAAGCGATTCCATGTGACCAAGCATCCCAAGCAGTGGGCTGGAGGTCGTGAGATCCGAGGCAAATGCTCAAATGCCAACTACACCATGCGTGCTGCGGTCACCCGCTTGGAAGAGTACGGTGACTTAGATCTCAGTTGCACCACAGCCACGAGTTGTGACACGGACTCTATCTTTGCACCACGCTACTTTGAGAACCTGGGGTACCAGTTCCTTACCTCCCCAGAAGCCAAAGAGGTGGTTTGGCAGGCACCACTCTACTACAATCACTTCTTGAATGAGCGACCCTTCTATGTTCGTGCTATTGGCATCATGCGTGCTGCTTACATGTTGGGATTCTTGATCCCTTTCAACATCAACACCATGTCCATCTTCAGCTTTTCTCTGGATCTCTGCATCAAGGGCGAGTTCTTCCATGCGCACTATCAGATGGATGACATCATCTACACCCTGACCTGCATGCAAGCCCTGCAGAAGCGAGTTGAGATCCTCATGATTCCTATGCCTGTGATTTCTGGTCCAACCTCAGGCACGAGCCAATCGGAAGAGTTCAGCGAATGGTTCCGACAGAGTGAACGTTGGACCATTGGTGCTTGTGAGGTTTTCCACTACTTTGTGGTGAAGCGAAGACGTTACAACTGCTCTGCAGCCTTGTCTTACGGCACTTGGTTTGTGATCTACTATGGTTTCATTTTGTGCTCCCTGACGCTGACTGGACTTGCAGGCTTCATCAACTACGCCTTAATTTATGCCAAACACGACACCATGGGCCAAATGACTGGCCAGCTGCCTTTGGATGATGCAGCCAACACTGGCGTGATGATTGCCGGCTTTTCCAGCCTTGCTTGGACCTACCTAGTCTTCTTGATTTTCTTCTACCTTGACCGTGAAGGGTGCAAACTCATTTACCACTTGAAGATGAAGCCGCAGGGTGCTGAGGATATCAGCTTTTGCCAGAACCTCAAAGACTGGATTCTGATGTGGCCCAGTTTGGTTATGTATTCCATGGTCAGCTACTGGGCTATCCTGAAAGTGGCTGTCTATGGCAAGAAGGTGTGCGGCCATGATCCTTCCAGCAAGGAAGGCCTCAAGGCTGGGCAAGGCATGACATCCGAGCGCTCCTCCTTGCTCCTCACTCCTCCTTCCTTCTTCCTCTTCTCGCACTGAGAGTAGGTGAGCAGGAGAGAGCACGTGAGAACAGGAGAGAACAGCTCAGAGCAGATGAGAGCAGGTGAGAGCAGGTGAGAGCAGGTGAGAACCGGACATTTCTGAAGCGATGCCTCTCTGACGGCACCTTGAGAAAGAGGCTACTCACATTGGTTCACCAAGCTGTCAGTCAGCTGCTCTATGAAAATTGTTTTCGCAAGCTTTCGCCTTTGTATAGCAGCCAAAGGGTATGGCAAGAAGGTGTGCGGCCATGATCCTTCCAGCAAGGAAGGCCTCAAGGCTGGGCAAGGCATGACATCCGAGCTCTCCTCCTTGCTCCTCACTCCTCCTTCCTTCTTCCTCTTCTCGCCCTGAAAAGTAGGTGAGCAGGAGAGAGCAGGTGAGAACAGGAGAGAACAGCTCAGAGCAGATGAGAGCAGGTGAGAGCAGGTGAGAACAGGACATTTCTGAAGCGATGCCTCTCTGACGGCACCTTGAGAAAGAGGCTACTCACATTGGTTCACCAAGCTGTCAGTCAGCTGCTCTATGAAAATTGTTTTCGCAAGCTTTCGCCTTTGTATAGCAGCCAAAGGGCGTGCCTAGGAATTTCAGTGACCCGTGTGACGCGACGAGTGCGTCTAAGCTCACCCCAAACATGTAAAGGCTGGGGATAGGCGGCACGGATTCCAACATTCAATGCATTCGGTTGAAATCTCCGCATCTTGCAAGCCACTCCAGATCGTGTGTCAGTCGGCAAACTATACTAATTACTAAAGCCAATTCCTACAGTAGCTGCTGGAATAAAGCTGATTTGCATTGGAATTGTTTTGGACCTTTCTGAATCTTTCTGACAGTTTCGGTTTGCCTCTTTGCAGTTTGCAGCTTGTTTTCACTTTGTGCGATTATTTTTGTATATTTTTGTGCCCTTGGCTCTACAGCACAGAACGCTTTCTAGAGCAGTAGGGACTCGTTGGTGAACCATGGCTCAGCCGCAAGCGCAGAAGCAGCCCAGTTGGTGGCAGAGGATCTTTACCACTGCTCCAAGGGGACAGTATGCTGTGGATGAAAAGCAGCAGAATGTGAAGGAGAAGGAGTTCATCATCATGAGATGGAATCTCTTGTTCTTGGTGTTTGATTTCATCATCATTCCCCTCCCACTGTGGATCGACATCTTTTGCCCCATTTTTGCCGCCATCTATGGCCTCTTTGTCGGATGGCTGGGAGCATTCCTATTGACAGTTTGTGCTTTGCGTTCTCTGCAGGCCAACTTTCTTATGAAGAGGGTGGTGGATGAGACTTGGGAGGACAAGATCCCCAGAAACACGGAAGAGGAGAGGCGTTTGGCAGACAACCTGCAACACCTGGTGATGATGTGCGGCTACAAGGAGCCAATGGAAGTGATCTGCCAATCCATCGATTCGCTCGCAGCCCAGACGGCGGCTCACCGCCTGATTGTGGTGATTGGCTTGGAGGAGGGGACCCCTGATGTGGCTGAGAAAGCTGCAAGGTTGAAAGAGCGCTATGCCAGATCCTTCAAGCGATTCCATGTGACCAAGCATCCCAAGCAGTGGGCTGGAGGTCGCGAGATCCGAGGCAAATGCTCAAATGCCAACTACACCATGCGTGCTGCGGTCACCCGCTTGGAAGAGTACGGTGACTTAGATCTCAGTTGCACCACAGCCACGAGTTGTGACACGGACTCTATCTTTGCACCACGCTACTTTGAGAACCTGGGGTACCAGTTCCTTACCTCCCCAAAAGCCAAAGAGGTTGTTTGGCAGGCGCCGCTCTACTACAATCACTTCTTGAATGAGCGGCCCTTCTATGTTCGTGCTATTGGCATCATGCGTGCTGCTTACATGTTGGGATTCTTGATCCCTTTCAACATCAACACCATGTCCATCTTCAGCTTTTCTCTGGATCTCTGCATCAAGGGCGAGTTCTTCCATGCGCACTATCAGATGGATGACATCATCTACACCCTGACCTGCATGCAAGCCCTGCAGAAGCGAGTTGAGATCCTCATGATTCCTATGCCTGTGATTTCTGGTCCAACCTCAGGCACGAGCCAATGGGAAGAGTTCAGCGAATGGTTCCGACAGAGTGAACGTTGGACCATTGGTGCTTGCGAGGTTTTCCACTACTTTGTAGTGAAGCGAAGGCGTTACAACTGCTCTGCAGCCTTGTCTTACGGCACTTGGTTTGTGATCTACTATGGTTTCATTTTGTGCTCCCTGACGCTTACTGGACTTGCAGGCTTCATCAACTACGCCTTAATCAATGCCAAACACGACACCATTGATCGGCCAAATGACTGGCCAGCTGCCTTTGGATGATGCAGCCAACACTGGCGTGATGATTGCCGGCTTTTCCAGCCTTGCTTGGACCTACCTAGTCTTCTTGATTTTCTTCTACCTTGACCGTGAAGGGTGCAAACTCATTTACCACTTGAAGATGAAGCCGCAGGGTGCTGAGGATACCAGCTTTTGCCAGAACCTCAAAGACTGGATTCTGATGTGGCCCAGTTTGGTTATGTATTCCATGGTCAGCTACTGGGCTATCCTGAAAGTGGCTGTCTATGGCAAGAAGGTGTGCGGCCATGATCCTTCCAGCAAGGAAGGCCTCAAGGCTGGGCAAGGCATGACATCGGAAGAGTCTGCTGAAGTCTCAACGGCGATCGACAGCGCAGACATTTCTGAAGCTGGCCGTGCCTGAAAGGGAGCGATGCCTCTCTGACGGCAATTGAGATTCTCACAGATGCTCTAAGACCTCTTAAGAAAGAGGCTACTCACATTGGTTCACCAAGCTGTCAGTCAGCTGCTCTATGAAAATTGTTTTCGCAAGCTTTCGCCTTTGTATAGCAGCCAAAGGGCGTGCCTAGGAAATTCAGTGACCCGTGTGACGCGACGAGTGCGTCTAAGCTCACCCCAAACATGTAAAGGCTGGGGATAGGCGGCACGGATTCCAACATTCAATGCATTCGGTTGAAATCTCCGCATCTTGCAAGCCACTCCAGATCGTGTGTCAGTCGGCAAACTATACTAATAACTAATGAATTCATTGAAATGGCACAGAAGCCAATTCCTACAGTAGCTGCTGGAATTAAGCTGATTTGCATTGGAATTGCTTTGGACCTTTCTGACAGTTTCGGTTTGCCTGTTTGCAGTTTGCAGCTTGTTTTCACTTTGTGCGATTATTTTTGTATATTTTTGTACATTTTTGTGCCCTTGGCTCTACATCACAGAACGCTTTTCAGAGCAGTAGGGACTCGTTGGTGAACCATGGCTCAGCCGCAAGCACAGAAGCAGCGCAGTTGTGAGAGGATCTTTACCACTGCTCCAAGGGGACAGTATGCTGTGGATGAAAAGCAGCAGAATGTGAAGGAGAAGGAGTTCATCATCATGAGATGGAATCTCTTGTTCTTGGTGTTTGATTTCATCATCATTCCCCTCCCACTGTGGATCGACATCTTTTGCCCCATTTTTGCCGCCATCTATGGCCTCTTTGTCTGTTGGCTGGGAGCATTCCTATTGACAGTTTGTGCTTTGCGTTCTCTGCATGCCAACTTTCTGATGAAGAGGGTGGTGGATGAGACTTGGGAGGACAAGATCCCCAGAAACACGGAAGAGGAGAGGCGTTTGGCAGACAACCTGCAACACCTGGTGATGATGTGCGGCTACAAGGAGCCCATGGAAGTGATTTGCCAATCCATCGATTCACTCGCAGCCCAGACGGCGGCTCACCGCCTGATTGTGGTGATTGGCTTGGAGGAGGGGACCCCTGATGTGGCTGAGAAAGCTGCAAGGTTGAAAGAGCGCTATGCCAGATCCTTCAAGCGATTCCATGTGACCAAGCATCCCGAGCAGTGGGCTGGAGGTCGTGAGATCCAAGGCAAATGCTCAAATGCCAACTACACCATGCGTGCTGCGGTCACCCGCTTGGAAGAGTACGGTGACTTAGATCTCAGTTGCACCACAGCCACGAGTTGTGACACGGACTCTATCTTTGCACCACGCTACTTTGAGAACCTGGGTTACCAGTTCCTTACCTGCCCAAAAGCCAAAGAGGTGGTTTGGCAGGCACCGATCTACTACAATCACTTCTTGAATGAGCGTCCCTTCTATGTTCGCGCCATTGGCATCATGCGTGCTGCTTACATGTTGGGATTCTTGATCCTTTTCAACATCAACACCATGTCCATCTTCAGCTTTTCTCTGGATCTCTGCATCAAGGGCGAGTTCTTCCATGCGCACTATCAGATGGATGACATCATCTACACCCTGACCTGCATGCAAGCCCTGCAGAAGCGAGTTGAGATCCTCATGATTCCTATGCCTGTGATTTCTGGTCCAACCTCAGGCACGAGCCACTGGGAAGAGTTCAGCGAATGGTTCCGACAGAGTGAACGTTGGACCATTGGTGCTTGCGAGGTTTTCCACTACTTTGTGGTGAAGCGAAGACGTTACAACTGCTCTGCAGCCTTGTCTTACGGCACTTGGTTTGTGATCTACTATGGTTTCATTTTGTGCTCCCTGACGCTGACTGGAATTGCAGGCTTCATCAACTACGCCTTAATCAATGCCAAACACGACACCATTGATCACATGGGCCAAATGACTGGCCAGCTGCCTTTGGATGATGCAGCCAACACTGGCGTGATGATTGCCGGCTTTTCCAGCCTTGCTTGGACCTACCTAGTCTTCTTGATTTTCTTCTACCTTGACCGTGAAGGGTGCAAACTCATTTACCACTTGAAGATGAAGCCGCAGGGTGCTGAGGATACCAGCTTTTGCCAGAACCTCAAAGACTGGATTTTGATGTGGCCCAGTTTGGTGATGTATTCCATGGTCAGCTACTGGGCTATCCTGAAAGTGGCTGTCTATGGCAAGAAGGTGTGCGGCCATGATCCTTCCAGCAAGGAAGGCCTCAAGGCTGGGCAAGGCATGAGACATCCGAAGAGTCTGCTGGAGTCTCAACGGCGATCGACAGCGCAGACATTTCTGAAGCTGGCCGTGCCTGAAAGGGAGCGATGCCTCTCTGACGGCAATTGAGATTCTCACAGATGCTCTAAGACCTCTTGAGAAAGAGGCTACTCACATTGGTTCACCAAGCTGTCAGTCAGCTGCTCTATGAAAATTGTTTTCGCAAGCTTTCGCCTTTGTATAGCAGCCAAAGGGCGTGCCTAGGAAATTTTGGTTCACCAAGCTGTCAGTCAGCTGCTCTATGAAAATTGTTTTCGCAAGCTTTCGCCTTTGTATAGCAGCCAAAGGGCAGGAAATTTTGGTTCACCAAGCTGTCAGTCAGCTGCTCTATGAAAATTGTTTTCGCCAGCTTTCGCCTTTGTATAGCAGCCAAAGGGCGTGCCTAGGAAATTCAGTGACCCTTGTGACGCGACGGGTGCGTCTAAGCTCACCCCAAACGTGTAAAGGCCGGGGATAGGCGGCACGGATTCCAACATTCAATGCATTCGGTCGAAATCTCCGCATCTTGCAAGCCACTCTGCCTGGGCTCTAAATCTCCAAAGGATTAAATATAGGGCCTGTTGCAAGATGCCGAAAGCACGGAACGCTGAGCTGCTGTGGAGTGGTAAGGTAAATTGGTGGTGACTTGGTAGTGGCGCTTGATCGTCAATCCAGGAACGACCCAAGTTCACTGACATCATTTTGTGGCCCATAGGCCTGTACATTGCCGCGGCTCCTTGCGCGGAACTACCTGGCTGGGGCATGGCACCTAGAAGCTGTGAGGCAAATTGTTGTGGAACTTGCAGTCACCGGCCTAGCTCTTGGTGATTTCTCGTCATGGTTTCCCATCATTGATAATTGATATGCCATGATCATAATATAATAATATATACACACATCATATATCATATATATATATATCATATATCAGAAATCACATATCATATATCATATATCACATATCATATATCATATACCTATCAATGTATCTGGAGTTTAACAACTTGCCATTGCCATCGAATATAGTTATTCACGTCGCTTCGCGACGGCAACCGCCCGCACCGCATCGTTGGGCTCACACAGCAGGGGCATGATTCAGGGGCGGAGCGGAAAGTGGAGCGGAGGAGTTGAGGCGCGTGGAAAAAAACGCGAAGAATTTGATAGCCATGTATAGCGGACCAACGCAGTTCAAAAAATAACGAAAAACGGCGAAATTGCTGCTATTTACAGTGTTTTTGCGCGGTGAGAAGCAGAAACCACTGCAAATACCATGGTTTTTGAGGGTCAGGTGGCCAAAAACACTGTAGTTTACAGTGTTTTTTTAAAACCAACGTCAAAAAACACGGGTATTTACGATGTTTTCATTCACACCGTAACATAAAACAGCGTAATTTACGAGGTTTTTGGAAGTTTTGAAGTTAGCCGTCAAGCATGCAGAAAACAGAAAAACACTGTAAAAACCAGTGTTTCTGCTATCACAAAACGACGAAAATCAGTCCGAAAACGGGTCCAAAAACTCAAAAATCCGCCTCCGGGCCAGGCCACCTGCGGAACCGCAAAAAAAGATGTTGCAAACTAAAAAATTGAGGTCAAAAAGTTGAAAAACACGGGTTTTTTTCACTTTTCGCTTGCCGATTTTGGACGGGCGCGTTCACGAACAGGTGTCTTCCGTACTGTTTTTTACAGTGTTTTTTGAAGCAAGCGTCACGACCTATCAAAAACAGGAGGTTTTGGCCGAAAAATGCCCCCCCCCCCCCAGGTAAACCTGTAACCTTTTACGAGTGCCATCCGGACGATCACGCCCCAGCACCTTCGGTGCGGGCGGATTTTGTTGAATCTATTCCTATAGCTTGGGTCATTCATGTCAGGGAGGTTCAGGGAGGCTCTCCACACACTCTGGAACTGGCATCCACAGTGCATTCCAAAAACGACACAGACAGTTTATGATGTGATGCAGTGCCTTTTCGACGAGATTTTGGAAAATAAGATATCAGATGATATCAGCTAATTACATCTAATTAATAGATGAGGACAATGCTAATGGAACATGGAATTTCCATGGGATTTTCATGGTTTCTTTGGAGCCCAAGACTCCAACTTTTAGGGAGATTTTGACCGAGGTCTTGGTGATACAGATCATGGCCTGAGGATGATGGTGTGCCTGTCGGATTGGAACAACAACACCAAATCCAGATCAGAATCACATGAGCTTTGATTCATAATGATATACAGAAACATACAGAAACATACAGAGACATACAGAAACCATTTGGTGCGTGATTGCGTCCTTCTTGCTAGTCAACATTATTGTCCACTGCGCTTTGTTGCCAGTCCTTGACCTCCTGGTTGGACTTACTATGTCAGTTGACACCTCAGCTCCAGCAGACTGAACTCACCGGTCAGGCGCCTAGAAAAGTCTGCGTCCAACCAGCTGCCATTTGGCAGGTGCAAAATCGAGCACGTGATATGCATCATGAATGACGAGGACCGGGTTAGCCATCCAAAGGTTCGTTCCGTAGAAGTCTTGCGCACTTGATATGTGCCTGAGTTTCCCCTGGTTTGGCATTAGTTGAAGCATATCTAGATATCATAACATATATTATACCAGTAGTACCGCACAAGGCGGTGGCGGAAGTTTCAAAAATAGGAAACCTATAGGAGAGGTTGGTTGTTGTGCATCAGGGATGGCAGAGCGAAGCCACTGATGGACTGAAAGGTGCTTGATCTCTCTCACTCTTTCTCTCTCTTTCTCTGACTATCTACCTGCCTACCAACCTATCTTCTATGTATCTATCTATCTATCTATCGATCTATCTATCTATCTATCTCTCTCTCTCTCTCATCTAATTACCTATCTATCTATCTATCTGTCTGTCTGTCTGTCTACCTGTCTATCTGTGGTGCAGTGTCATCCAGTGTAATGTAGTGTAATGTAATGTAGTGTAGTGTATTGCAGTGTAGTGGAATGTAGTGTAGTGTAGTGTAATGTAGTGTAGTGTAGTGTAATTCAGTGTAGTGGAGTGTAGTGGAAGGTAGTGAAGTGTAGTGTAATGTAGTGTAGTGGAGTGTAGTGTAGTGGAGTGGAGTATAGCGGAGTGTAGTGGAGTGTAGTTGTGTAGTTGTGTAGTTGTAGTTGTAGTGTTGTGGAGTGTAGTGTAGTGTAATGTAGTGTAGTGGAGTGTAGTGTAGTGTAATGTAGTGTAGTGTAATTTAGTGTAGTGGAGTGTAGTGGAGTGTAGTTGTGTAGTTGTAGTTGTACTTGTAGTTGTAGTGGAGTGTAGTGTAGTGTAATGTAGTGAAGTGTAGTGGTAGGTAGTGTAGTGTAATGTAGTGTAGTGAAGCGAAGCGAAGGGACATCTGAACCTCCAAAAGTGGTCCGAACCCCTTGTGTTTTTAACATTTTGACTTCGAAATGTGCTCCGCGCCACAACGGCATGCACTTTTTCGACATCTCAACTTCCAAAAGTGGTCCGGAGCTGGTGTGTTTTGCACATTTTGACTTCCAAATGTGCTTCGCGCCACAACGGCGTGCACTTTTTCAACATCTCAACTGCCAAAAGTGGTCCGGAGATGGTGTGTTTTATACATTTTGACTTGGAAATGTGCTTCGTGCCACAATGGCGTGCACTTTTTCGGCATCTCAACTTCCAAAAGTGGTCCGAGAATGGTGTGCTTTGTACATTTTGACTTCGAAATGTGCTTCGCGCCACAACGGCGTGCAATTTTTCATCTCTCATCTGGCCAGATGGCTCCGCACCCGCCGCTTTAGCGAGCCTGCTTTTCGACCCTCCGGAGCCCCAAATCATTGGAAAAACACAGTGTTTCGCGACTTTCCTACCTTTTCTGGCATCTGCATCTTCTTTCTTCTGACTCTTTCTCTTCTACCCTTCTTTCTTCTAATCTTTCTCTCTCTGCCTCTTCCCTGCTCTGCTTTTCATCTGTCCATATTGTCGGAAGTTTGACTTCTAAACTTCCTTCGATCATTTTATAGATAATATAATCGAAGGAAGTTTAGAAGTCAAACTTCCGACAATATGGACAGATGAAAAGCAGAGCAGGGAAGAGGCAGAGAGAAGAGAAAGATTAGAAGAAAGAAGAGTAGAAGAGAAAGAGTAAGAAGAAAGAAGATGCAGATGCCAGAAAAGGTAGGAAAGTCGCGAAACACTGTGTTTTTCCAATGATTTGGGGCTCTGGAGGGTCGAAAAGCAGGCTCGCTAAAGCGGCGGGTGCGGAGCCAGCTGGCCAGATGAGAGATGAAAAAGTGCACGCCGTCGTGGCGCGAAGCACATTTCCAAGTCAAAATGTATAAACCACACCAGCGTCGGACCACTTTTGGAAGTTGAGATGTCGAAAAAGTGTACGCCGTTGTGGCACGAAGCACATTTCCAAGTCAAAATGTACAAAGCACCACATGTTCGCGCCACTCTTGGAGGTTCGGATGTGGAAAAAGTGCACGCCGTTGTGGCGCGAAGCACATTTCCAAGTCAAAATGTACAAAGCACCCTATGTTCGGACCACTTTTGGAGGTTCAGATGTCGAAAAGTGCACGCCGTTGTGGCGCGAAGTACATTTCGAAGTCAAAATGTTAAAAACACAAGGGGTTCGGACCACTTTTGGAGGTTCAGATGTCGCTTCACTACACTACACTACACTACACTCCGCTACAGTACACTACACTACATTACACTACATTACACTACACTACACTACACTACCTTCCACCACACTTCACTACACACTACACTCCACTCCACTACAGCTACAACTACAACTACACAACTACACCCCACTACACTCCACTACACTCCACTACACTACATCACACTACACCACACTACATTACACTACACTACCTTCCACTACACTTCACTACAGTACACTACACTACATTCCACTACACTACAAATACAACTACACAACGACGCAACTACACAACTACATTCCACTACACTCCACTACATTACACTACACCACACTACACTACACTACATTACACTACACTCCACAACACTACAACTAAAACTACACAACTACACAACTACACTCCACTAAATTACACTACACTACACTACATTACACTACACTACACTCCACTACACTACATTACACTACACTACACTACCTTCCACTACACTTCACTACATTACATTACACTACAACTACAACTACAAAACTACACTCCACCACACTCCCCTACACTAAATTACACTACACTACACAACATTACACTACACTACACTACACTACATTCCACTACACTCCACTACACTACACTACATTACACTACACTGCATTGCACTGAATGACATTGCACCACAGATAGACAGGTAGACAGATAGACAGATAGATAGATAGATTGATAGACAGATAGACTGGTAGACAGCTGGACAGATAGCCAGATGAAAGGGAGAGAGAGAGAGATAGATAGACAGATAGATAGACAGATAGATAGATAGATAGATAGATCGATAGGTAATGAGATGAAAGAGAGAGAGATAGATAGATAGATAGATAGATGCATAGAAGATAGACAGGTAGGTAGGTAGATAGTCAGAGCAAGAGAGAGAGAAAGAGAGGAGACCTCAAGCACCTTTCGGTCCATCAGTGGATTCGCTCTGCCATCCTTGATTCACAACAACCAATCTCTCCTATAGGTTTCCTATTTTTGAAACTTCCGCCACCGCCTTGTGCGGTACTACTGGTATATATATATATAAATATATATGTTAAGATAATCTGACACTGCGTGGAGCCAGCTTGGCTCAAGACAAAACAACAGGATTTTTCAGAACAGCGGTGACACATCGTGGCCCTTAGGGTTGCTATGGTTGCTGGGCTCATGACTCGGTGGATTTGTCTGCTTGGTCTGCTGGGGCTGATAGATGCTGCTCCCGGCTTGCGAGGGACGGAGGACTGGACTCAGTGTGGCATTCTGGGGAAGGCCGCGCCACAGAAGACGCGAATAGTGCATGGCAAGGAGCGCAGGGGCGCAGCGGCGCAGCGCAGCGTGGTGGGGTGGCATTGAGTTCCCCAAAACACCCCAAAACTGTCCACAAGAAAGCAACAAGTTCCCTAGAAAAAATCCATGGAAGTTTGCTGGGCAATTCTTCCCGTTCCCTAAAGGCTCCAAAGGAACCAACCCCTTGGGCTCCCTTGAAGCGGAAGTTCCCTCACCACGGTGTTTGCCAGGATGCAGATCAATGCGTTTGGAGATGGCAAGTGAGCCTCAGTACGCCCACCTCGCAGTACTGTGGAGGCAGTGAAATTGAAACAATTATGACATCAAAAAACAGCAACATATATTAGAATATATTCGAATCATTGAACCAGCAACATCAAGAGACAACAAGACACATCAAACATCACGTCAATCATCACATCAATTCATCACCGCTGCAAGAAGACATCGGTAGCCTTCGACCATCTTGTGTGTCTTTTTCCAATGAACCATTCTGGGTGCCTTCCGCCGTGAACGCCCTGCCAGGAACTCTCATTTCTCCTGGCCATGTGCTCACAGCAGCGCATTGTCTTTCACATGTTAGAGGACTCCCAGCCAGCAAGATTTGGACCCCCAAACTGGAACAGACAAAGACCCGCAGTTGGATGTTGTGACCCAAAGCTCATTCCCAGCCTTCGTACATCTTCATACCATTTTGTTGCTGCATGTGGACGTTTTTGAATCTTAAAAGTCAACTAGCATTTTTCATCATTCATCCGCATTCCAAGCATTTCCAAGAAAACTGGCCCACTTTGACTCGTTTGACCCGTCGGACTTGGCATATCTCCGCAGGACCATGTGCAGTCCGCGCGTTGCGTGTGCATGCTGGCAGCCGGAAACGGGTTCCGGGCACCACAGGTGCTGTAGTGGAGCGCCACGCCAAGAAGACCCATGGATTTGCAAACAGTTGGACCAGTTGGATCAGTTGGATCCGTTGGACCAGTTCGATTTTGAGCCAAATTTCTGAAATCTGGGGTTGATCCCAGCCCTGTCAACCATGCTGGTAAAATTTTTCGGGATGCGGAAATCCCTAGTAGCAGGGTTTGACCCATTCCCACATCAAAAAGACGCTATACAAATGACCATAGCTCATCATTATTGAATTGACCCACAGGTACAGGGAAGCAAGGAAGCGATACAAGGAATTCCCGGAAGTTTTCTTGGCCACTGCACAACGAATATACAAAATGACTCAAAATTACATAATCATAAACTATTCTAAAATGAATCTGTGGAAGATAGCCTAACAACAACCTGGCTGGGTACACGCAAAACCGCCTGAGCCAACTGCAGGCTTTTTTGTGCCCAAAGTAAAACGGTTGCTGCGCCACTCCGCCTGGGATTCACCCTGTGAACCTACAGGTTATGAGCCCAAGGTCGCTCAACTGAAAGCCATGTGGTGGAGTACAAGGACTATGTCAAGGCCTGTGGATGGTGAACTACAAGGAGGACACCAACAAGGGGACGATCAAGGCCAAGGACATGGTGACGATCATGGCAGAGGGCAAGAACCAAACCCATTCTGGAGTGAAGAGGTGAGGGAAGAAAACCTCTTGACCCAGGCAAGACCTACAGGTCTACCGGATGAGACACCAAGTGAGAAACTGTTGGACCTTGACTTGGATGAGGATGAGTTGAGGACGGCAGGTGAGAGCACACCGCGAAGCTGGGAACCACTAGTGCATGTGAGCGTTGGATGGCCTACAGGTGTTGCGACAAGGGGGACTTCAAGGAGTTCGAGTGGTGGGGTCCTAGGGGATTCCAGGCTGCAGTCACTACTGGAGGCCGACCTGGCAGAAGGTGGAACTGGTGCGCGGCAAGGGGCCCAGCACACTACTTGGGGGACTCCAAGACCGCGCTGGACGAGAACGGGGTCTTGGACAAGTTCCATGCTCTAAGGCGGAACAACTCGATGGACTTCGAGCCCGCGATGAACGAGAACCGAGTCTTGGACAAGTTCAAGGTTCTAAGGCGGATCACCTTGATGGACTTCGAGGCCGCGATAGGTAAAGACCGAGGGCCTTGACCTCTACGTGGACGCTATGGACAATTGAGGTTTGGACTGGCCAGGCCTTACCCATGCAGAGCAGAACACGGTCGACAATGACACAGTTTTGTGGCTTCGAATGCTCAAGCTGGTGAAGTTGCCCAAGGACAACAATAGCAGAGCAACAGTGATGGCTGAACGGCCACAAGATCCGCTGGACTACAGGGCCGATGATGAGGAGCTGCACAAGGGATATGGGTTTCCAACCTTTTTGCAATGGCCAGAGACGCTACATGATGGTGGAAGACTGCGACCTCACAACGGTCAAGGTGGATCAGGGAAGCTTGGGGCATCCCACAACTAAGCTGACCACTTTGCTGACCGACATCGAAGAAATCAAAGGGGTCGATGGATGGAAGATGCAAGGCCAACCTGAAAAGTGGCCGCAAGAATTTGAAAAGAGGATCCAGTTCTCCGAGGAACTTGCTACCTGGGTGACGGGACTCAAGGAACTTCTCAGAATGGCAATTCAGAGGTTGTCACAAGAGGAGACGATGGTGCAGGCCCTGGCCCTCAAGGAGCAGAAGGAGATTATGGAGTGGAAGGAACATTTCCGTGCCGATCGACTACCTTTTTGCCAGGGCTGTGAAGTATGCCTTCGTGCTGCAGGAGCAGATCGGCACAGGAAGAGGCTTCAGAGTGCCCAACATCCTTCTGTCTGTCAATGGATATTATGGGACCATTTGCCCAAGGAAAGGACCAGGAGTTGAACGGACCAAGTCAAGGTATTGTCTTGTGGCGACATACACGGTGCAGATCGACAAACATGGAGCTCCTCTACCGCAAGGACTGGCGGGACTGCACCTGCCACACCAACAAGGACAAGACGTGGAGGATGACTTCATGCACGAGGACCCAGAAGTGTTGCCTCAATCAAGATGCAGTACTTGACCCACTTCCTGAGGAAGAGGAAGAGCCGCAACAGGAGCTGCCCGAGGCCGAGATCAAACAACAAGAAGCGCGTGAACGGCGATGGAAAGATTTCGTGCAGGACAGAAAGTCTCAGAATGCCAAGAACCTGACGTTCACGGTGCCTCCCAAGTCACGTCACAATGATGACCTGCTCCAAGCGGTGGCCAAGCTCCAAGACCAAGGCAATGGCACTCCCAGTTCAACGGATTCATACAGATAGAGCCAAAGAGTTTGTGGGCAAAGGTGTTCAGAAGTGGATCAAGGACCATGCCTTGTTCCACGCGATGTTCTGGAAGTGAACCGCAAGGCAATGCCAGAGTCGAGAGGGAGGTCAGAGAGTTGAAACAGAGGATGAGGACGGTGCTAACGCCATCGAGGGCACCTACACACTTTTGGCCTCTCGCACTCCGACATGTTGGAGAACGACACCTACGACAACAACTTCAGGCCTTGGGTGTTGCAACACCAGAACTCTTGCCGTTTGGGATGAAGGCAATGGTCAAACAGAAGTTGTGGCAAAAACGAGATGACACGCTGAAGTATCCCATGCAGAAGGTCAGGTTGTGGGGACCAGCAGCCCACATCGCTTGGATACTATGTCCAGAGCGATGAGACATGCACGTTCTTCAGATCAACGGTGGTCAAGGTTTTTGCAGATCAATCAGCCCTACAAGCTGAACGTGGTGATGCCCCACGGGGGAAGGATGAAGAACCTGGAAACCAACTTCAATTGGATGACCCTGGAGATGACGGAGACCGACCCGAAAATCGACGACTGGACAAGGTCCACAACGACCTGAAGAGGTACAACAAGCTCAAGCAGCTGACAACCTTCAAGCTCAAGATGCTGAAGTTCAAGGTGGTATCTTTGACGAGATTGAAGAACCTCCACAAGAACCTCGAAGGATTGACATCACCAAGAAAGGACTGTCGATGTACCCGCACTTGGAGATCAATGCAGTGCTGGAAGAGGTTGACGAAGGAAGGCCTGTTTTGGGAATTGAAGAACCAACACCACCTGAGCAAGCAAAGGGGTGGAGGCTGTATGGTAAGGGTCCTGAAGTGCGAAGAAGCAATTGAGCGGATGATAGTCATCCTTGGAATCGAGTATGAGACAGTGTGCCCACGAGAAGTGGAATTGGCTTTGAATCTCAAGGAAGAGTTGAACGCCATTGAGGAGAACCTGGTTCAGATGGCAACTATTTGAGAAAGTTGGAGGTGGAAGCTGAACAACAAGTTCTTCAGACCCGACTTGTGGCAATGGATGAAGTTCGTCGGAATCTGGAAGAAGAAACCAGTGTTTGAGGAGGAAGTCAACGACCTCAAGATGAAGGCAGTGGAAGCCATCAACGGGAACCAGTTCCAACAACTCCAAGGAGCATGCTGGACAAGAGTTACCCTCAAAGAGACCAAGGAAAGGCATGTGTGGGCAGTACGGCGAGTTCGTGCACCAGAGACTGAGGAGAGCCATGGCTTTGCGGTGGTGTACGTGGACGACACGCTGCTCCTTGGGGAGACCGAACAGGTCAAAGCAGTGGCCGATGCGGTGAAGTCACTGTGGGAATGCTCCCCGTTGGAACTCCGGAATGAGAAGAAGGAGTTGCGCTTTTGCGGCATGGAGCTGAGAAGGTACAAAAAAGGGGTGTTTCTGAGTCAAACCGGCTATCTGGTGGAGATGCTGAAGCGCTATGAGGTTCAAGGAGTGGAGGCCTACCCGTTGCCTAAGGTGGAGGATCGGGAGGATGAGGAGCCTGACCTCAAGGCGCTGAGGCGTGCCCAAACTCTAGTGGGTGAACTGTTGTGGACAAGCAAGAACAAGACCAGATGTGGCGTTTGCCACAGGGCTACTTGGTCGTCTTGCCCACATGCGACCCAACTATGTGAACACTTTGGGGAAGCACCTGCTCAAATACCTGCAAGGCACAACTGACCATGGGTTAAGTTACAAACTTGGGGATGACACGGACTATACGGGGATGGCCAGCTACCACAAACAGCAGACAGACTGGTGATGTATGCTGACATCTCCTAATTCTCCTATGCTCCCCCCCATGAGCAATACCGGTGGTCAATACAAGGTGTTGCTGGGCAATGGACTGGAAAGACGTTGCTGTGGGACAGCGGCAGACAGGCCTGTGTCACACTAAGCAAAGCGGAGAGCGAGCTAGTTGGC